TCTCTCTCTCTCTCTCTCTCTCTCTCTCTCTCTCTCTCTCTCTCTCTCTCATGACGTATCAATCACTGTTGCTGCCGCTCCTTGATTACTGCCCCTCTACCACACTTTTCCGCTGCAGAAGCTGCAGCACGCAAGCGCTTACGCTCATGCAGTGGCAAGTTTTCGTAGTCATTTGTAGCATCCACTGCTGGGGCCTTGCCTTTCACACGTTCGTCTGGCGGCTGTGCACATACAGAATCAGGATCAGTTGTGGAAGGTACTGCAGTGGGAGATTTGCGTTTGGTCCCACTCCCTTTTGGCCTCCCCCGCTTTTTTGGTTCTTCACCACGACCTGCAGCAACAGCAACTGCTTCCTGTGCGCCTCGGCCTCCACCTCGACCCCTGCCACGCCCTGTTCTGTGAGCAACAGGGTTCCACAACCTGCTGGGGTGTGATGCTCTCCCTAACAGGCCTTGCGAGGAGCAGGGACGTAAAGTATGTGTTTCAAGGCGTCGGTGATCCTCCGCCTACAGATTTGGTCTGTCTGCTCTAGCGCTCGGGGGGCTTGAACCATAAAACCCAGAGATGCCACCCACCTGAAGTGGCAGGGTTTGCGGCTCGTATGGTTGCTGCTCCTGCTCATGCACCCCGTGCTGCAAGTGTTGCTGCTCCTCCAACAGGTGCTGCTGTTGATCTCGCTGTTGTTGTTGTTGCTGCCGCTCGCGTTGCCTTTGATGTTGTTGCTGGTGCTGCATCACTGTTGGTGTTGTTGCTACTTCTACTCTTGTTGTTGTTCTTGCTACTTCCGCTGCTGTTCTTGCTGTTGTTGCTGCTGCTGCCTCTGTTGTTGATGGTGGTGCTGCCGCTGTTGCGGATGTTGCTACTGCTGCTGCTGCTGCTGCTGTTGATGATGTTGCTGCTATTGATGCCACTGGTGCTGCTCCCGTTGTTATTGCTGCTGCTGATGCTGTTGCACTTGTTGCCATTGTTGCTGCTGCTATTGTTCTTGCTGGTGGCGCTCCTGATGATGTTGCTGTTGCTACTATCGATGTTGTTGTTGCTGCTGGTGCAGTTGCGCTTGTTGCTGCTACTGCTGTTGCTGTTGCTGTTGTCGCTGTTGTTGCTACTGCCGGTGCAGTTGCGCTTCTTGCCATTGTCGCTGTTGCTGTTAGTGCTACTGTTGTCGCTGTTGCTGACGCTGCTGCTCTTGTTGTTGCTGGTGCTGGTGCTGTTGTTGGTGCTGCCACTTCTGCTTGTTGCTGTTGCCGTTGCTGTTGCGGGAAATCTTGTCATTGTTCCTCCAATCGCACACTTCTACGTGTGCCCTCTTTGTATGGAAGAATGTGCTCCCTCCTTGTCCACGACTCGTCAGAGTCAGATTTGTCAGACCTTCACATGTCTTCTAGTTCCTCTTCCTCGTCTGATGATTCTGACGACGACTCATCATTCCAATCCCCCTCCTCTCACTCCCTTTCTATGACTCTCTGTGCCATAGCTGTTCCACCGCCCCCGCATGTGGGTCGTGCCACAGATGTTGATCCAATTGCTGACGTAGTTCCACGAGTGCATTCATCCGCCGCTGCAGTTTCATCCTCCTCATCATCTGCGTCCGTCTCAGCATTAAGATTGCCCAACCAACCACTATTATTCGTCGCTTTGCCCTGCACCCTTCCTTCGTATCGAAGGTTCCAGTGGAGGTACACCAATTTCTCCACTCTCTCGTGCTCCAGCTTGTTGCGATCCTTGGTATGCACAAGAGCCCATGTGCTCCAATTCCTCTCTGCAGGGGAGGAGGCTGTCCACATGCTGAGTATTCGCAGTGCCAACCGCTGCAAAGCTGGGTGTCCTCTCCCATGATCCTCCCACCAATCCAATGCACTGTCCAACCTTCCACGACGCTGCACCTCTGGATCTCCAAAGATTCCTTGCTCCCTTTGGAACGCATACAAGGAGTCAATGCACTCCTGGTACTGCGGTGTCCCCCGAGCGCCTACGAGATGCTCCACAACACCTCGAAATTGGGTCATCAATGTCGGATCGCTGAATACTCCTCTGTCACGCAAATTGGGGTCAAGCAATCTCGCAACTGTGTGCACAGGGCCGAGGAGCTGATCCGTCCTGTTCGACACGACCTTCAACACTTCAACACGTTGTCCCTCTGTCAACGGAGCTGCAAGCACACAATTCTTCAACGCCACTGCTGCGTCATAAACACGGGAGATGCAGTGCACATCACGATCAACCATCCGCAATATCGAGAACGCCCCCTCCATCAAAATGAACATCATTCGAACATCATTCCAAAAATACGTAGACTGCACCAATCTCTCAACAAGCAACGCCTTATCCCGAATGGCGTACGGCCACTGCATCTCTTCCCACTCCATGTTGTTGACTGTATCTTTCACTCGCGCCTCTTTCTCCTTCAACCGTTCCAGCATGATGAAGTTTGTCCCAAATCTCGTTGTCTGTGGCCTCTTTAGGACAGTCTTGCCATGCCCAAAAAGCATCTCCCGTGGGGCGCTGTGAATCCTGAAGAACTTGACGACTTCATTTGCTTCGTCAAGGATCTTCTTTGCCCATGTCATCCCCCCCAAATCATGAAGGAACAAATCCATGCAGTGTGCAGTGCACGGGATCCAGTAGATATATGCAAACTTCGGATCCTTACCCAAGGCCTCTGCAGCTGCCTTGTTTGAAGCGAAGGAGTCAGTGCAAATAGCTGTGGCCTGCCTGTTCTCCCTCAGGAACGTCTTCCACGACTCAAGCATTGCAGCAGAGTTCTTGTCTTTTCTCTTGACATGATCACATTTGATGAAGACTGGTCTGTCTCTCCTTGCGAGGATGTAGTTCAGCAGAGAGCGACCGCATATGTCAGTGGTGCCATCTGTGATGAGCGTACATCCCGTCTTCTCCCAGTCAACCCGTAGTTTAGCCTCTCGCTCCAAGTACGTCTGTTTCCTGGAGTCCAGGAGTTCTTCCCGTAGTGCGTTATACGGGACATGCTTTAATGGACAGCGAGCTGCGGATTGTGGCCCGAAGCACAGTTCACAGAATTTTTTCCAACTGCTGCTCTTTGCCACATTGAATGGTATGGCATTTTGTGCGAAGAGGTCCATGGCAGCTAAATCAATCTCCCGCTGGCGCGGGTTGCGGACATATCGATCTATAGGCATCTGCCTTTGTCTCCTCGCTGGTGCTGATCTCCTTGTGACCTCTGTCATAGTTGCACCTGTCATTGTCGGTCCCTCTTCCCGCTGTTCCACACCAGGTCCGCCACCCACGTCATCAGCGGCACAAATGGCAGGAAGAGGGAGATTTGGAACGGTCTGTGCTGCAGCCTCATCCTCCCGCTGCAACATCTCCTCGACGTCAAGTGGCAAYTCCACATTCGCAGCACGCARCCTCCTGTAGATAGCTATGGTGGCATTCGGGCACCGCAACGCCGGCCTCTTCTTCGTGAAGTGTTCAAGCCCTCGTGCGCGGTTGCCTGGGAACACAAGTCCACACAGGAGGCACTTCATCTGCTTCCCGCCATGGCTTTTCGCCCCTGTTGACCTTCCGCGTGCCAACCAATTTCACACGCAGTGGTCTCCCGGCTTCCATGCGTGTTTCGGGTCCGCAAGGAACTCCCCTGTCCCTCTTCCCGTTGCACGCTCTTCGCCCGCAGATGCTGATGYCCCTTCCATTGCTAAAAGTGCACACAAGCTYTTGCCCGACGCCTCTGCTGCTGCCACAAGTTATCACAAACTGTTGTGGTTGTTTTTACTGCAACAACTGGCGTTGCAGCTAGGGCTTCTRCCACAACTGTTGATGCAAGTGTTGCTGCACAAGATGCTGCAACAGACGTTGTGATATGCAACGTCACAGCCCCTGGTGCCCCCGTGCTCTCTCTCTCTCTCTCTCTCTCTCTCTCTCTCTCTCTCTCTCTCTCTCTCTCTCTCTCTC